TCTCAAGTATTTTTGTATAGAATTAAGTTGATTACGTCAATGGGTATTTCAAAGGGTGCAGAATAATTCTTACCTTATTCTTCATTGATGCCAAGTTCCCCCAAAAGCTCTCAATGTCGAACGTGGCTGGGTCTTCGGGCATGGCAATGTCCATGGACTGGTAGTCCAGAAACTCCTCACTCAGTATGTCACGCTCGTCAGGTCCGTTGTATGGGAGAAGTTCAGGAAACCTAAAAAGAACACAATGTGCTCTGATCTGGTAAAGTAATGTAGCTGAAACGGGTTGTTTTTCAGATGTGGTCATTAAACTCTACAATCTATTAAGAAAATGTTAAGAAAATGTGACAAGAGCCAAGAGTCTTTAACCTGCTCTACTTAAGCATATTGAGATAACTTGTGTTATGATTTGGCACTATAGATAAATGTACTTGACTTGATACCCCAACTAACCTGTCGACAAAGTACAAGGCGTCTTACACTCCACACTCTACCCTCTGCTGGACATCCAGAAACATGGCATGTTTTATCTGGGGCTCTCTCATGGGGAGTTTCTTCATCGCATACTCCACAGCCCTCACCAGAAACGCCACTGCTGCCTGCTGGAACCTCTGCACTTGCTGCGGTGTAATGTCTCCTGCATCAAGGAGCCTGTTGAGTGTAGCTCGAGTAGTGAAGCCGATCACCAGCTTTTCTCCTACGAGAGACACAATAAATCAACAACGTCACAGAGGTCATTAAGGTGCTGTATGCGATTCTGGAGAAAGATTGATGCAATATGTTCTCATTCCCAACACCAACATGTCAGTATGAGACTGGGAATAAGACCGGTGTTGAGTCACTTTAGCAATCATCAACAACCACAATAGCTAACTTGAAAGCACCCCTTTAAGTATCTTCATCACATCAGTGATTGATTGATTGATTGAATACTTTATTAGACAGAAATGCAAACAGCACAAGGTACAGTCACACATTTGGGCTAAAAGGATAACATAAAAAAGTCCTGTGGACTTGTTTCCATTGTGGTCCTATGTGTGTGATGAGATGAGATTATCAAACTCATAACTTGTCTGCACAAGCAGCCCTCTAACAAACACAAACAGTATTATGTGAGTGAGATCAGTGAGTGGATAGTGTATGTGCATCTGCTGATGTGAAACTTGGAGGATTACCTGGCAGTAGGTTTGATGGGTCCTTATAGAGGATTTCATGCAATTCCCGGTGCTGCGGGCTTCAGAAACTTCGAGAGAAACTTGCGGATGATGAAAAAAGGAACAAACATAGTACATTATTACTAGCATACTGTATTACTAGCATACTGTATCCCAACCTTCCCAATTTACCTCATGTAGAAGGAAGATGGAGGACTTCTCTCTCTGGAGGAGGAGGTTGAAGGTGGAGAAGACTGGCAACGTTGCTTGATAGAAGAGCAGGTACACCTCTGTCATTGGGTTAGAGAATGCTTCCAACAGCCTCCTGAACCTTGGTTGTTTCTCATCTGTGAATAAAAAAAACACAGGTTGTGCATATTACATACATTTACTTTTCAGTCTGTTATAATAATCGTTCGTTCATTTGGATCATTGAAATATGATGCCTACCTGATGACTTGAAGCAGCTGGCCAGTGGTTCATACTGCTGCAGGGTATGAGTCAAACACCTCTCCAGGCTCAACCATCGAATGGAAACGTGCATAAGTATTTCCAAATACTCGCTTCCATGGAGCTCACAGAATTCTATGACAAGAATGGAACATCTTAATTTCCATTTAATTTAACTCTTCTGAATTTCATTTGGACTGCACATACCTGTCAGGTAACCTTTACGATTGGTGCTTCCTTTAAACTAGTATCCCACATCCACAGTCAGATCCTCTGGATCAAAAGATTACTGTTTGATTGATTGGATATTTTATTAGACAGAAATGCAAACAGCACAGGTACAGTACAGTACTGTACATTTCCTTAGCTCATAGTAAGTATCCATTAGATCACACAAGCAAATACGTGATGATTTAACTAACACTATTAGTCACGGTTGTTTGTTGTTAAACCCACCGCAGCACCAGCAGCCTGTGTAACGTTAAGTCTCACGTAGTCAGACCCACCGTTGACTTCATCAAAATAAAAATATTTGTACAAATAATGTGGTTACCTACCGTTTGACCTCCCGCTTCAGATGAAAATGTCAGTCACGGCATTATTGAGGCGCTGACACAGACGTTTCACGTTTACTTTTCGATTTCTCCGCCATAGAGTTATGTTGTTCTTCATAGGATAGAGACGCAATGACCCGCCCTAAGCTGCCTCTGATTGGTTTGTATACGTGGTGCCTTTCGTTGGGTTGGTTGGATTTAGCCTCGAGGGCTGATGATTGGTTATCACATATCTCGGTCAGCCAATCGGGGGCAGAATAGGGCGGGCTCACCCTGTCCCTGACTCGAACTACGGCAAGCCTCAAGCAACAAGTTATGGAAATATATCATTAAATAAAAAAATAATTATAAAGTAGTGAGAGGGGGGGAAAAGCGTGTGAAATGGCAAGTGTGGCGTGAGGCGTGTGAAGAGGTTACATTGCGTGACTCACTCTCAAAGGGTGAGACTTGGCAGCTCTGAAGACCTCTGGACAGAAGCCCCTCACTGCAGTGCGCAGTACCTCAAGCCCCTCCTTCTCAACCTTTGAGGCACGTGACTAACGGCGCCTCCTTCTCAACCTAGGCCCCTCCTTCTCAACCTAAGCCCCTCCTGGCACGTGACTAACGGCCCCTCCTTCTCAACCTTTGAGGCACGTGACATCCTGTTTCTGGGGTAGCAGTTCTGTCACGATGGAGGTAAGTATCCCTGAATAAATTAACTATTTGTTTTTGCTGCGGTTTAAAATGTGTTGATTTTAAGTAAAACTACATTTGTGTTGCTTCAAAATAGTAGGATTGCTGTATAAGCAGAGTCCTGAAAACTTTAGGAAAGTCTTTATATTATTTTTGCACTACTTGAGAACTAATAACTATACTATGTAATAGTAGGATTGCTGTATAAGCAAAGTCCTGAAAAAACTATGCATTGTAGTGCCGAGAGATAGGGAGTCGGAGGCGGTGCAATGGAGGTACAAAGCTTGCTTTAATGAGCAGCAGAAATGTAGATGGTGTTGGGTCGCAGCCCGGGACGACAAGAGAAAGAGCCAGGAGGGCACACAACATATAAAGGTAACCACATATATGTCCGTGTGGAAACAATACCCCCAACTCTAGTTCCATGTGTGGATTATGTAACCCAGTGTATTAAAGGTGGTCACCACACAAGCGCCCCCAGAATCCAAACATGGCAAAAAAATCCTCGCGTCCGTGGAGGAAGCACCACAGGGGCCGAGGAGGGTGGGGCCGCAGGTGAGGATCGGGCCATGGAACGGGCCACGAAAGGGGGCCGCAGGAGAGGGCAGGGGCCCTAACGAGGGCGAGGGCACCCACGGCGAGGGCACCCACACCGGGGGCCGCAGTAGGTGTCGCGGAGAACCCAGCAGGAAAGAGCGCAACCCGGCCGCAGGCAGACGCACAACGGCGGCGGGCACGAAGCCCTCGGCAGGCGTCGAGGTATCCCCGGAAGAGAGGAGCAGTCCCCCCGGGAGGAAGGAGCGCAACCCGGCCGCAGGCAGACGTGCAACGGCGGCGGGCACGAAGTCCTCGGCAGGCGTCGAGGCATCCCCGGGAAGCAGGAGAGCAACCCGGCCGCAGGCAGACGTGCCGCGGCGGCGGGCATGAAGTCCTCAGCAGATGTCGAGGTATCCCCGGGAAGCAGGAGAGCAACCCGGCCGCAGGCAGACGTGCCGCGGCGGCGGGCATGAAGTCCTCAGCAGGCGCTGAGGCATCCCCAGGAAGCAGGAGAGGCCAGACAGGGTCCCGGAGCACGCCACCCATGGGCCGATGGAGCATGGGCGACGTCCGGAACTGTCGAGGCGAGAGGGGGTCCAGGAGTGCGCCACCCAGGCGCCGATGAACGTGAGTGGCGTCTGGATATCCCCGGAAGGCAGGAGAGGCCAGACAGGCTCCGGAGCGCGCCACCCACGGGCCGATGGCAGCATGGGCAACGTCCAAAACCGTCGAGGCGAAACGGGGTCCAGGAGTGCACCACCCAGGCGTCGATGAAAACGTGAGTGGCGTCTGGAACGGCGTGGAGGTGGTGAAAAATGTGAGAGTGTCCACATGAGGTCAACCGGCTGGTCGAACCTCCTCTCCGGCACCAGAAAAAAAACAACTCAAAAGGGTAGATAGCCGTTAGCTGTTGCCGTTAGCTGGCAGCCATCGGTAGCTGCTAGCCGTAGTTAGCCAACGTGGTTAGCTGCTAGTTGTCGTTAGCTAGCGCAGCTGGGATGTGCAGCCGCACGCCCCGAAGAAACCCCACGAGGCAGCAATCGGGTTCATTCCTACCCAGCAGGTCGTGCATCGTCCCCTCTGTAGTCGGAAGGCAGATGCGGGAATGACGAGCAACATCCCCAGCCATTCGGTGAGGCGCGCACCGAGCCTCAGTCCGCGTGCCTGTAGCAGCCACGGTCGACTCCAAAAAATCCCCGGCATTTCGAGAAAGAAACCTGAGTTTCCTTTGCCGTGTTCGGGTCCGTCTCGGAAACTTCACGAGACGTCGTCGGGGTCACCAATGTAGTGCCGAGAGATAGGGAGTCGGAGGCGGTGCAATGGAGGTACAAAGCTTGCTTTAATGAGCAGCAGAAATGTAGATGTTGTTGGGTCGCAGCCCGGGACGACAAGAGAAAGAGCCAGGAGGGCACACAACATATAAAGGTAACCACATATATGTCCGTGTGGAAACAATACCCCCAACTCTAGTTCCATGTGTGGATTATGTAACCCAGTGTATTAAAGGTGGTCACCACAGCATAAACTATATTTAAATTCGATTTTTACAAAATAAATGTATATGCAGCTTATTTTATTCCTGCCTATTGCCTAACCATTTTGTTTGTGTTTATGTTCTTTGACCAGAAATACATCACACACTTACACCATGATGGGAGCCCAAAAGTGTATATTTGTAATTCTGGCAGTTATCACTGCCCGTTCTGCCAATACCAGGGTCAGAGGCTTCAGGTGGAATACCATGCCAAAAGCCATTCTTCTGTGAGGCACAGAGGTATAATAAATTGCTCTTTTTAGTGCTGTCTGTATTTTCACATTATTTACAATGAGAGCTTAATGTCTTCAAGCTTATTGACTTTACTATTGTTTCTTGTTTTCAGAGTTCACAATTGTTAAGTGTGGCTTAAGCTGCAGAACAGCAAGCCATTTTCATTGTCTTTATTGCTCACAGACCATAATTAATAGGGGCCAGTTTTTACGGCATGTCTATTCACATGAGCCAAATGCTGTGACTGTAGGGCGACTAACAGCACCTGCCCAGCTCACCCCACCATCTCACCTGCTCACTGCAGCACCTGCCCAGCTCCCCCCACCATCTCACCTGCTCACTGCAGCACCTGCCCAGCTCCCTCTACCATCTCACCTGCTCACTCCAGCACCTGCCCAGCTCACCCCACCATCTCACCTGCTCACTGCAGCACCTGCCCAGCTCCCCCCACCATCTCACCTGCTCACTGCAGCACCTGCCCAGCTCACCCCACCATCTCACCTGCTCACTGCAGCACCTGCCCAGCTCCCTCTACCATCTCACCTGCTCACTCCAGCACCTGCCCAGCTCACCCCACCATCTCACCTGCTCACTGCAGCACCTGCCCAGCTCACCCCACCATCTCACCTGCAGCACCTGCCCAGCTCCCTCTACCATCTCACCTGCTCACTCCAGCACCTGCCCAGCTCCCCCCACCATCTCACCTGCAGCACCTGCCCAGCTCCCCCCACCATCTCACCTGCTCACTGCAGCACCTGCCCAGCTCCCTCTACCATCTCATCTGCTCACTCCAGCACCTGCCCAGCTCACCCCACCATCTCACCTGCTCACTGCAGCACCTGCCCAGCTCCCTCTACCATCTCACCTGCTCACTCCAGCACCTGCCCAGCTCCCCCCACCATCTCACCTGCAGCACCTGCCCAGCTCCCTCTACCATCTCATCTGCCCACTCCAGCACCTGCCCAGCTCACCCCACCATCTCACCTGCTCACTGCAGCACCTGCCCAGCTCCCTCTACCATCTCACCTGCTCACTCCAGCACCTGCCCAGCTCCCCCCCCCCATCTCACCTGCAGCACCTGCCCAGCTCCCCCCACCATCTCACCTGCTCACTGCAGCACCTGCCCAGCTCCCTCTACCATCTCACCTGCTCACTCCAGCACCTGCCCAGCTCCCCCCACCATCTCACCTGCTCACTGCAGCACCTGCCCAGCTCCCTCTACCATCTCACCTGCTCACTCCAGCACCTGCCCAGCTCCCCCCACCATCTCACCTGCTCACTGCAGCACCTGCCCAGCTCCCCCCACCATCTCACCATCTCACCTGCTCACTGCAGCACCTACCCAGCTCCCTCTACCATCTCACCTGCTCACTCCAGCACCTGCCCAGCTCCCCCCACCATCTCACCTGCTCACCTGCTCACTGCAGCACCTGCCCAGCTCCCTCTATCATCTCACCTGCTCACTCCAGCACCTGCCCAGCTCCCCCCACCATCTCACCTGCTCACTGCAGCACCTGCCCAGCTCCCCCCACCATCTCACCTGCTCACTGCAGCACCTGCCCAGCTCCCTCTACCATCTCACCTGCTCACTCCAGCACTTGCCCAGCTCACCCCACCATCTCACCTGCTCACTGCAGCACCTGCCCAGCTCTTAATTTTACAATTAACATTTGCATTCTTGAAACTATTTCTTACACTGTAACCTGACTATATCATTTTAATTAATATTTTTAATGTTTGTCTTTCATTCACCAAGGTCTGAACAACAGAGGTCGCAAGACTGCAAGAGGCGACGGGAGGAAAAGGCAATGCAGGTAGAAGTTGTTGAATCACAAATGATAAAGTCTTGAACCAGTGTGAGTGTTAAACATGTAACCTGTCTTTGTCAAATATATTTCAGGATGAAGAGGTTCCACAAAAGAAGCAGGCCATAATTTGAATGCGTCATGAGTGAGCGCTGCTGGGGGGGAACTGTTACAATCTGTATTAGGTTCACTAATGCCTCAAAATGTAATAGTTGTCAGAATCTGTCTGTGTTTTATTTTGTCCTGTCCCTGTCTCTGTGTTCAATATAATTGAAAGTCCTGAATTCAAAGTGTTTCTTAAGTAAAAGAGTATAAGTATTATCAGCTAAATGTACTCGAAGTATCAAAAGTAGAAGTACATGCGGAATGGCTCTGTTCACAGTATTATATTACCATTGATATTATCCCGTCAATTCTATCAATTTGTTAATACGTTGGCACTTTAATATATTTTTTAAAATACTGGTAGGAAATAATGTGATATGATTTCATTTATATCACATGTTTTTCAGTAAAAAGTGAGTAAATATACAATATTGACTCTGAAATTAAAATCAAATTAAAAAGTTAAAAAACAAATGAAGGCCCTTTCTTGAAGTCATAACTGAAATAATTGATGCAATTAACATGCAAATAGACATTAAAATATGCTTTGAAGGCTGTTAATGTGTTTAATTTGAGTTTTACATTTTTAAATGCCGTTGCCATGGCGACAGATCACTCGCCATCATCATTGGTATCATTATATTAATATGTTAAAATAGTTAATACTCTGACGCTATGGTTAACAGAACAGAACTGTGAAGCTCGTCACGTGCCTCAAAGGTTGAGAAGGAGGGGCCGTTAGTCAGGAGGGGCCGTTAGTCACGTGCCTCAAAGGTTGAGAAGGAGGGGCCGTTAGTCACGTGCCAGGAGGGGCTTAGGTTGAGAAGGAGGGGCCTAGGTTGAGAAGGAGGTGCCGTTAGTCACGTGCCTCAAAGGTTGAGAAGGAGGGGCTTGAGGTACTGCGCACTGCAGTGAGGGGTACTACGAAAAAGCAGACTAAGGATGGCTGACACGAAAAAAAGGGGAAAAATCATGTTGGTGAACACGAAATGCCATGAGACTGGGTTGGGAGGGGAGGTATAAACTAACACCGAACGGAATACTCAAGTGTTACGTGCTCCTTGTTGTCTTTTCTGTCTCCCTGCTGCGTAGGTGCACCTGGTCTTCCCCTGGCTCCGCCTCTGCCCAGGTGTTCCTAATTCCACTCAGCCGTGTATATAGAAGGAGAAGCTGGAGGAGAAGGTCTCGCCTATCCTAACGCCGGAAAGACACTCCTTTAGATATCTCTGTCATTGTTTGAGCTGTAGACCATTTATATGTTGATGTGTTCATGTTTAGCCTGGAGGACCTGGTAGTCCAGTTTTCGCAGCTTTATTTTGTTTCCCATAGGGTATATTTAATTTCTGGTTGGGGGGGAAGCTCTGGGTCCTACGGCCGTGGTGTGGCTGGCTCGGGTTCCCTCCTTCTGTTTGTTCCTTTTGGCCAGTCCTCCAGACCTCTTTTTGTTTGCCGGTTCGCTTGTGTGTGTAAAACGGCTGGATATCAATAAATGATCGTTACCCAAGTACCAGTTTTTGCGTGTATTATTTTATGTTGCGGGTCTCCCCACGAGCCACTACCACGGAGTAGAGGGTGGGCCGTAACACAAGTAAAGAATGTCAAATGTATAGTTTTTGTATAGTAGAGTTAGGTTTCACTACCAGCAATTTGACAATACATTCTCATGTATATTTACATCTTCCTTAACATATAGCACATACATCTGTTTACATTACTCATATTCATATATTACATATAATCAGTATTTTATTCCACTGTACAGTATTTAATTTTAGTCATCTTATTCTATTTTACATGCACACACTTTACTTATTCATGCAGTTTTACCATTGTGTCACTTGCTCTATTTGTGTTTATATTCTTTTTTTCTTTTTATGTCTTAAGTTTATTGTATGTTAGAGAAGGGCTTAAGATGTAATTGCCAGTAACTACACTGAAGCTATTGTATGACAATAAAGCAATTGAATCTTGAATCTTTGTCTAATGGATTTTATTAGATATTAATAATGTATCATGACAATGCTCGTAGAAATGAACCTGCAGAGCTATATCATCCTGATCTGTGTCTTTACAAAGCTTGTTATAGCAAATTTCAGTTAATTGTTTAGGTGCCCCAACTACTTCAGACTCCATAACAATGCTTATTTTTCCAACTCTCGCTCCAAAATATATATTAAATTATTAAACGCTTTTTACCGCTTCTCAACACCAGTTTCTTATATTTAAACAGCTCATTGTCTTCTCATTTCAACAAATATATTGAGCATGGAGGCAACACTCTCCGGAGTAAACACAAGAAAATAATCCGTGTCATGTTGCTTTTAAATCTGCCAAATGGCTCTCACAGACAACAAATCCCAGCCTCAGCGGACTCAACTATTGTGAGAATAATCAACAGAAAAACAATGTTTTTAGGGAAGCCAGTGTCATTAAACCGCTAAGTAACACATTGATCTTGCCTCACACAACGTCCCTTTGTGGTTAAAACAGGGGAGGAGGGAATTAAGAAATACTGAAAAACAAACAAGAGCAATCATCTTAGTGAAGCCATAAGAGTGTACACACAGCTCTTTAAAGACACACACTTTTATTCTGCTTTTCTCTTCCACTTGGGCGTGCTTGACACTAACAGTTGCTCTCTTCAACAAGTTATGCTGATGCATTCAGATTTCTGATCTAATCGCTGTATCCAAAATAATTAAGTCAGCTGGCTGTTTTGTTTGTGGCTGCTTGAAGCCACCCATGAATGTTAATGATTCAATAATTTGTCCCTCACAGGCTTCCTTAATGTCAGCTAACGGCGGCCGGGTTCGTAAAGCTTGTCTGTCGCCACAAGGAAAATCAGGAGCAGCCATCACTGAAACATCACATCACTGGAGATGACAGACAGCTTTCTTTTTAATTACATGTTAGTTTCTGCCAAAAAAAACATGCTGGTGGTCTAAAAGGCTACTTTAAGGACAGTTCACACAGTTAAATACAAGCATTGGATATTGAAGTATTTCATCGCTTGATGCTGCTGATAAAGGTTAACAAGAAGATAAGGAGAGACTCAACTATGCTGGCTTTTTACCCTCTTGTGTAAGTACAAGAAACTAAACATTGTGTGCTCTCAGTCGAAGATAAGGACACTTTCACACGGCCATCTTGGTGTCCAACTTCCCTGACATTTACCATGACATTTCACCTTCTCTGTCCTCTCACTTTGAAAACAGAAAAACAATGTTTAGAAATAGAGATATAACCTTTTCTTTCACAGTATTACTCAAGAAATGCACATATGTTTCCACGAGCAAAATTACTGATGGAAATGTGTTTGTTGCGTCTTACACAGATCGTAGTTGGAATAATTGCAACTGCATGAGATCTACATGTATGGATTTTAAAAAACTAACCAATATTGCCAAAGCTTAAGATAGAGCACATCAATACACATGAAAGTTAAAAGTGTTAAAGCAAGATAGCAAAAGTCAAGTAAAATGGTCAGATATCCATATACTAAATAATCATTTTAAGTGAACATTCAGTGGGAGTGGAGTTGATGTTTTTTTCCCTGTGAACATCTGTACAAAATAATCTAGTCTCCTGGGGACTAATTATTGAACCAATTGACCAAGAACATTGATCTAATCAGTCATCTGCCAATGGAAGGACAAAGGTTCCAACGTGTCGCTGGGACAGATTCAGAGAGGATTTAGAGAAGTAATAATCCAAGAGACATGAAGAACAGCAAAACGTTTCAATCAATTTGAATTCCATATTGAATAATTAACCTAAAATAACCTCTGCTGAAGCCATCAAAATCACCTCATATTTGATTAATGCAAACATATTATGAATAACTGCCAGAACTAATAGAGACACATTCTCTTACCACTGGTGCAAAAATAAATGGGTTTAAGAAGGTGTTGGCATTGCGTGAAAAAACCCAACAACTCCAAAGTAAAGACATTTTGTAATTTGCCCTCCAGAAATATACGGGATCCTTTTTCCTCTAAGTCTATTTCTAAATCAGTGTTGCAAAGGAATCTTCGGACAATGCAAATTATGAAAGTGTTTACTGCAAAACTCCCTGTATAAAAATACATATTTTAAAACAGATGGACTCATGTCATCACTTCCCTTTCGACTGCCCCAAAGTGAAATGGTGCTTTGCTGATTTAATTGTGAATCTGTTTTGCTTAAGATAATAAGAATTGTATGCTTTCTTTTCTTGTTTACTTTGAGGGGATGAGGGGGTCAAGCTACTGTCATGAGAGGATCTGATGAGTTTTGTTGTTGGGTTTTAGACTGTTGAAACAACAAACATACATATTCACTGGAACTTGTCTCTTTTTTTTATTAGATAGAATGATTTATCGATATTTGCAGGAATGTCCCTTTTCTACCATGGTTTGTTTCATTTACCAATATATATTTCCCTGAACTTCAGTACATTTTAAGTTTTCTTGACTCCAACAGACATAGTCGTGGCTGATCAGAAAAATACTAGTCTGATGTATGCAGAGTTGTAACCATAACATTTTCCTATAATTTATCTTAACCGTACTTGTTTTGACGAAACAATACATTCATGATTATAATGTCCTGATTATGATTATGATTATGATTATAATCATCAGTCCTGATGATAATTGCTAATTCACATTGTTAAGAGGCATGTTTGGAGCTCTAAATGTTCTGTTCCTTCTTTTTGTTTGGCAGAAATACCAACGGGTCGGTGTGGCAGTGTGGGCTGCAGTGATTACTTTTGTGTTAGTATTAGCATAATCACGCGCTAACCTTTCATCATCCCACCCTCCCACTTCCAGCGTCCCAATACGTAACCTGTAACTGCCAATAAAATGCATTTTAAAGTGGAGCTGATTTTCCACCAGGACGCCAATCTCCCAGCAGCATTTTTTTTTCTATCCACAATGTTCCTCTGGAAATAAACAGAGGACATAAACCCAGACACAAAGCTAATCTCCTAGACAGTTTACTGACAATGTATTTCAAGTAGTGTTGTCTAGGAGACAGACTCTCCTCGATTCACATCTCTAATATCAGGAGATTCGAAGCTGGGAATGAACCACCAAGGGAAATTACATACTCTCGGGGAGAGAGTTGTCAATTGTGTTGAATACACAAAAGGCCATGTTTTTGCATAATTTCTCGTGGATATGGACTTATCCGTGGCTGCAAAATGCCACAGGTGGCTCCCAATCAGATGTTACAAAAGTCCATCTGTGTCCCAAACATCACCTTCCAATGAAATAATTACATTATAGTCCACACAGCACACAGTGCCAAACTGGTGGCTGGAAGCACATGTGGTTCCTATCAACTCCATGATATTTACTTAAAATCTGTACAGGAAGATGATTAGTTTGCCGATCTGTTGGTTAATTCCCAATTTGGGAGGTCTGCCAAACTGATTTCTGGCCTAGTGATGTGTGATGACAAGTGATACATTGCTCTTATGGGAGGTGATGTGCTGAATCATTCTAGCGGTTGCCAAAAAGAAAGAAATCCCATGGGGACAATAAAGAATATCTTATAATAGTGCAAGTTGATTATATTTTGATGGGCTGCGGGTCATACAAAACAAGTAACATGTAATTTCACTTTGGACTCTGAAACATTGTGACATTGACATTTCATAAACCCAATCATCATTATTCTATTGATAAAGAAATAACAGAAATAATTGTTGCCATCCTTTTCAAAAGGATCATCAAGGTCCACAAAGACCAAGAACAAATGCATTAAATGTCACTCTACCCTATCCAAGAGATGTCAAGATATTTCACTATAAAATACCAAAACAATTGTAAAAGACCAAAATATCAGGGGAATTTGATTAGAATTCAACCTGTGGGGAATTTCATTATCTATGTAACATTTTTGGCAATCTATCTCATAGACGTCAAGATGGTGGATCAGTTATTACTCTGACCTGGTGGTGGAGCTGAGGATCACTGAGGTCATGAGGATTCATCCTATGGGCACCATGAAGGTGTGTACACATTTCATCCAACAGTGGATGAGATATTTGACTCGCAATGTAAACCTCGAGAAAACTAAGGAGATCAGCCCAGCTCAGAAATAGAGATTGAGATATATATAGAGCTTTTCTACCAGATGTTTTCTTGTTACATGCTATCCTGACTTGTAATCTCCAGGAATCCAAACACAGAGCTACCATTTCATAAACTGAATGCAGACATGTAAATGTGTCAATCTGGTTATGCGAAATGAGTAAATCGGCAGAAAGACACTCCTGCTCCACACATGCTTTGACATTCATTTAAAGGGGACCTATCATGCAAAATGCACTTGTGTACTGTACATCTTTTATACATGAATATGTGTCCCCGGTGTGTCAGGGAACTCACCAAGTGTCAGAAAACACAACCCTCTCTCTTTTCCTCCATACCCAAATCTCTAAAAAACGGGGCTGCAACGGAGCTGATACAGATTTGAATTTTTCTGACGTCAGAAAAGGGGTGCTCCGCCTATATGGGCAACTCTCCACCTATCAGGGGAATGGGGGTTGGGCCTCGGCCACGGCCATTGCCACTCGAAAGTGATGGAGACGCTGTAGTACATATGCAAGGCCTGTAAGTGGCGCTGTAGTCTGCCACAAAAGCAGCGAAGAAAACTCACAGAATCAGCCCTTGCAAAAACAGGGCTGGAAAAGAGCAAATGGAGCGAAATGAGGCATGGCTAAAATGCATGATCTGTTTGGTATTTTGAAAAAAATACTTCAGAGACATGTTTTAAATAGGTATGGCCCTACAATATATTATTCAAATATAGCATGATAGGTCCACTTTAAAATGTTGAACATACATACAGTGGAGGAAATAAGTATTTGATCCCTTGCAGATTGAAAAAAAATCAGATATTTCCTTTCACATAAGCTTTAAAAAATGCTAAATCGGGAGCTTTGTCAAATATGAGGACATGGAAACTAATAATGTATTGCAAGGATAAGGACACATTTGTGTCACATGTGAAAAGGCATAGAAACCACTCAAATCAGTAATATTTCTAACTGTGTGGTTGTTCTTAATGATCACCTGGCTCTGGCTGGATTGCAAAAATTACTTTCTCCCCCCTGCTCCTGTTCTATTCCTTTGTTGAAATCTTTCCTTCAGGACATGCATTGACCATGTAACCATGGTTGTGTTCGTCAATCTTTCATAGCAGCAGTTGCCTTTTTTTTCTTCTTCTTTTTTTGCCAAAGAAACTTCCAGTTTCCCTTGGCTACGGTTTTTTGCCCCCCATTGGCACACAGTGTACGATACATGAAAAGCACCATGTGAAAGAACGGTGCACCTGCGGAGGCAAAAAGTTACCACAACATGTAAGCACGTTAAAAGTTATAAAATACCTTGTTTTCATAAGGTTATCACAATCCAAGCCAATCCTTCAATGACTTTTTAACTAAATCAACTTTAACCTTGAAGACAATTGTTAAGCATATACGCATCTGTGGTTATATCTAAAATATGAATTACAAAAAACATGACTTATGCAACTGTGCCAGACGAGAGCTCTTTGGATCACAAGCTGTGAGCAATCACACAGTGATAGACTCAAGAGTGCAAAGGATAATCATTGCTTTAAAAACATTAATTAAATCGCTTTTAGAGAGACGCATTATGGTTTTCCTTTTTTTGACTACATAACTGGTAGAATACATAATTACAACAGCTTGCAACCTGGTCCGTAGATAATTTAGTTGTATTCGGAAAACTCATGGGCACTCGGAACTCATTTATTATAATTAAATTACAATACGAAGAGTGATCAAGAAATCTAAAGTTTAAACGTGAAAGCCTTACACTGTTCAACACCTTCATCTGAATATGTAATACTAAGTAGTAAAGTTATCAAATACATGGAATTTAATTAAAAGTAGGGCCGGGACTTTAACGCGTTAATTAAGATTAATTAATTACACAAAAATTAACGCGTTAAAAAAATTAACGCATTTTAATCGCACTTATTTTTGCACCGCGGAACGTTTCTCACTGGATGAGTTTCAGGCGTACCGATTATACTGGAGCACCAACTAACGTTCATGACTTCAGACAACAACAAACCACAGTGAACAACAGTGGGAAATGTTGTTTTAAAAAACGGACGGATGGAAGCGTCGATAAGAGCACGGTTGTGTGCAAATTATGCAAAAAGGAATTCGCATATCACCGCAGCACATCAAGCCTCAAGTATCACCTCAATGCAAAAACATATAGCAGCTAGCGTGGAAGCTAGCGTGGACGTTAGCCTCTTTTATCGCGTTCACACCAAAAAGAGCCGGTACTAAAATTAGTTCATGAGAACCTTTTTACCCCCACGAAAGTCCCTGCTAGAGAGCAGAGAGCTGCTAGAGAGCAGGGACTTTCGTACGGCTCTCTTGTGAGAAAAGAGCTATATTTATGATTGGCTGGGCGGATTGCAAACCACGCCCCGTAAAACTCCCAAAAAGTTTTGTGAAGCCGCCATTTTATTATCCTCGCATTAGCATTAGCCCAGCGCAGAGAGACTAACTTATGGCAACACAAAATAAAACATGGGAGCGGTGGAGATGAGGAGGTGTCGGCGTTCTGGCGATTTACTCGGAAGGCTGCTGGGACTCCCAGCAGCTTCTACTGAAGCCAGTCCCCAACTCCGGGGACTTCCGGCCGGGGACTTTGGGCGGCAGTATACGCCGTGAAGTGGTTTGCGGCCTGCCAGTAAACCCAAAGCAGAAGAAGAAGTGACGTCAGCGGCTTCATTTGCCTAATCCACCCCCAGGTTCAAAGAGTTCTCATGAACTAAATTTTCATGAACCTTTGTGGGAAAAGTACTGCGGTGCGCCTAATGGTATACTAAAATCCATGTGAAAAAAAAATTGCTTCTCACTGTTCTTAGGTCAAATATGTATATGCGATTAAAAATGCGATTAATTTCGATTAATTAATTACAAAGCCTCTAATTAATTAGATTAATTTTTTTAATCGAGTCCCGGCCCTAATTAAAAGGTATGATATTTGCCTCCACATAGTGCATTTTATAAAATAGCATAACACTTGAGTAAAGTCCAAGTATAGAAATGTTACTGTACAGTAACTGAGCAAATGTACTTATATTCCACCATTGATTATAAAGTTATGCAAGTATGAAAAAATTGTGTACATACAAATATATAGAAAATATGCAATGGAAAGCAGTAACATATGTAGTATTATGCACTATGTGCACACACACAATATTACTTGCTCATTGATTTTTAATGACACCAGACCACGCATCCAACATAATGAATATGAACATATTTATCAGATTTATAAGAAAATGATTGGAATATAATCTCGGTTTTATTGTGTAAACCTATAATGTTTCATTCATGTTTTATCATCTGGTCACACCACGGGACTCACTCACTGACTCACTCAAGAACTAACTAGAAAAAGTAATCCCGTTACTGCCACCAGACCAACAGCACCACAGCGAGCTGATGCGCGTCGCTATTGGACGCAGCAGCAGGTTGGACTCCAGCTCCCCGCTGCCTGTTACTCAAACGCAGGCAGAGCGTGTGGCCAGTCGCTCGTGTTTGCGCGCTGGATATGGATCAGGACCCCGCGCGCCTCCCTGCTGTCTCCCGCGGACGGGCTGCAATCTGCGGCGCGTAAAGGTGCCCAAATGAATCACCCCCTTCCCGGCTCCTCCGGCGGGCAATGGCTTAAAAGAAGAGACATGAGTGTCTGGACGGAGGAAAGCATCACATTGTGCCAAAGGGCTCTACAAATCATCACGGACCTTTGTCTCACGGGACACGTAGACCGGGAGAAATGCTCGGATATATTTCCCCTGGAGAGCAACATACCAGGTAAAGGAAACGCAGGTAAATGCAATAAAGTCGTTTTTTCTTTCCCCAATTCCCTCAATTTAGCACTTTAGTTTGTCCCTTCTATAAGAGATTCATGCAGTTTAAGGAACAAATAATAACTCAAACATTAGCTTTCACTTGTTTAAACTTTATCAAACCGTTTAGTTGTGTGTATTTTACCGTGTTGCTAAAGTATTTCTCCACCTGTTACGCATCTTGCTGCAGCTCAGTCCAAACTGATGAGAAAGCAACAAGTGTAAAATAGACAGGCATATGCAATCCTCTGCATTTCTCCCGTCTTTCTTTCAAGCTTTAACTTTTTAATCTGGGAATGAACTCAATGGCAGTTAGATTAAAACTGCATGTATAGGCTGTACACTTTGCATTTGAATATAAATCTGAACAGGAAATGTCAGGAGCCGAAGGGAGATTTTTCTCCTGAACATGTGATTCTCTTGATGCTGTGGCTCCTTGACTGAGGTTTTACATGACCTTATATTGTCCTGCTTTATCAAACAGGTGCACATGCTGCCCCCCCTTTCTTACAGCTGGCTTTCTCTCCTTTTTTCTCTTTCTCCCTTGCATGTTTGTCCGTCATATTTTGTCCCTTGCTTGCTTTCTTCTTTCCTGTTTACGTGTCTCTGTCTTCCTCTATGGGTCCCTCCCTGGTTACATGTAGACATCTCTATTAGTCTCCTTGCTGTGGTCGTGGGTTTCTGTGGCCTCGCCCTGTTGGTAGTCTCTCTCTTTGTCTTTTGGAAGCTGTGCTGGCCCATTTGGAGGAGCAAGACTCTGTCAGGTCACGCCGAAAATGGCCTCCATGTGGGTTTCCCCGTGGCGCCTCCACCCCACTCCCCACCGCCCAGCGAGTGCAAGGCGCCGGAGGTGGAGAAGAAATACCCGCTGGAGAGGGTGAAGGTGAATGGACGGAGCACGGTCAAGCTCCTGGAGGCGGCCATGAAGATCAGCCAGACGTCTCCGGACATCCCCGCCGAGGTGCAGACCGCCTTGAGGGAGAAGCTCAGCAAGCAGGCCAAGTTCCAGAGGCAAACCACCGAGCCAACCTCCTCCTCCAGGTACCTTACATGAACCCATGGGTGTCATTTATGATGGGGAGGCTGGGGCATGTCCCCACCACTTTTTTAAAGTAATTTCATGAGAATTTGATCATGTATAATCGCGAGAACAGTTGATCTGTTCACACTTGGTGTATTTCTAGGGTTCCATAAAGTACAATTTGTGTAACATCTGTGCAAGTGCTGAACAGAAACTTGAACAAAGTCTTGTCAAAGTTTCTTAAAGTTTAACATGACGTGCACCTATGCTGTCGTGTGGGGTTTGCGAGATGAAAGAGCTTAACCAGGTGTTCAGTTGCTTAAGGTGTAGCGAGCAAATAGTAGGCCTGCATACATTCGTTTGTTTTCCCCACCAGTGACCTCAATGCATGAACCCACTGATGTAGAAACTCCTTGTAACAACATTTTTTTGTATCTAATGCTGACAAATACAGCGAATTTCTGAACTTGCATTGGTTTACTTCCCCAAGCCATTCAACACAACTGATACAGAATGCAACGGCTGCTCTGACAGATTGGACAGTGCAGACAATGTCCTTGAGGTGCTTTGTGTCATGTAGAGCAGCAGCGGCTTTTAAATGACCTTGAAACGCTGACACATGTTGAATCCTGTGAAGCGCTGTGTGACCAGCAGATTAAAAAACCTCACACAGGCTCGTCAGCCAGACTCCGTGGTCTATCTTCTCGCTTTATTTCAAACCCTATAATCTCGTTAAACGTGTGTGAGTCAAGCTGATGTGGTTGAGGCAGGAAGCAACCACAGTAATTAAACAAGCGGCTCTTGCTCCTCTTTGTTTTCCAGCACTGTGTTTAAACTCAAACGTCCATAATTAGCAGTGCTGTGGGGCGAGCTGTCATCGGTTTCTGGTGAGCAGCACTAGGCAGCTGCGCTCAGTTCTCAGAGGACGCCATTGTCGACAATTGCTTTGGCTTGTCATAAAAGTTGGGATTTGATTGAATATTTAATAACTGAGACGTGAGAGCTAGGGCTTCATGAGTTTTACACCCACCAGGGATGCAGATGTAAAGGGTAAAGATTGCAACACCTACAGTATTAATCCATCAAGGTTCCCGTTGGAAGATAAATCCTGATTAACAGTTATTATTTCCTTTCAATGACAGAGTTCCCTACGGATGCTCTTAGCTTGAGTACCAACAGGTTGAAATAAACAAGGTCTTTCCAAATGTGCAATGATGCCGATGATTGGGATGCGACAAACAATATTATAAAAGTTGGTTTCCGATATCCTCACATTTATGAAACCTGAACCAGCAAATTTGGCATTTGGTTTTTAATAAGATTTAATTAACACTCAATAGTTTTTAATCATCATTTCACCTCTAAATCATAAACAGTCTCATCATCTTTGAGCAGAAATAAGTCCTAGCTCATTTTTGTTTATCTCCATAACCCGTAGATTAAAAAAAACACATCCCATTATCTCTTCATCTTATTAACCATTTATTTTTAAACATTGTAAACAGGTAGCATTATAGTATTAGTTAAAAAACGAAATAATGTGAAATAAAGAATGAGATTTTTCTAAACTCAGATCACCTCCAACTTCTTTGTGTTCATGAATGCGTTATTGAAAACTGACACAGAAAGCACTTAAAAGGGTGTATCTCGTGTCAAAAGTTGACTTGTGTGTATGTTATGGTTTTAAAAGAATTCAAATGAAACAACTACTATACGGTCTAGTTAGTATTCAGTGTGTATACAGTTTGTATTTCAAGCTGTTATTTTCCCTTGGGGTTTTTCTATTGGCTCTTGGACAAAATGCTCCCTTCTATGTTGTTGATAATACTAGATTGGAGTAAGTATTCAATTTCCAGCTGTGCTTCTGGTGCCATACCATTTGTGCCCCGGCTGTCAGATCGCTGCCATTATCTTCCTGTCATAAAAGAGGAGCGCCAGTTGCTAGGTGACAAGATTCGTGAGTCAAACACGGCCTTGTTTTTTTTGTCGTTTCACAGAAATGTCCAGCATTCAGGTCAATTGTATGAGCCCTAATGTGAATGCCTGTAATGTTTTTCATTTTATTTTCCAAAACAAGGATGAAGAAAACCTTAAGTTTGTTCACTTGATGGAGAAAATAAAGAAAGAAGGATTGAATTTACTTTGAAGTATGTCAGTTATTAGGGTGTGAGTTTAGGGAAATTCAGCCACTTTTAGAAGGCAAAAATTGACAATATGAAACCCCCAGGAAGACTGTTGGGCTTCAAAGGTAATTTTCGTAAAAGATTTACAACCTCCATGGCAGTCACACACATTTTTCATTTAGCTTACTTTGGGAAAGAGGCATCCTTAAATCAACGGTAGATAGATTTTCCAGTAGAACAGAAATCCACATCAAGCGCTGTATTTATTTCTCTTTACTTATCCATGGACAATATGTGTGGATTGTACAGTAGGATTGGAAAGGTTATTAATTAAAGTTATGACTTGCCAACAGGCTTTAAGCATACTAAACAATGTGCCTTTAAATAGTTATTGCTGTAAAGTGTTGGGACTACATATTTCAGCGTTTGTTCAGTGAGTATTTATACTTTTCAGCTAGATGTTCATGCCTCTCTTAACACCAACAAGACCAACCATTTTTGGAGCTCTTCAAGAAAATATGGTCACACATATCATGGGCAGCACGTAATTATGCATGAGGTTTGTCAGATGGGGTTCTTACTGACAAACCATTAGTGCCCATCACAACAAAGCCAGTCATGCACAACACTGTCGCTTCAGACATTTACCAGATGCCCTTTACCCTTTCCAACAGGCACAATTCATTCCGGCGCCACCTGCCTCGTCAGATGAATGTCACAAGTGTCGACTTCAGCATGGATAAAGTGCCTCTTCGCCAGTCCTCAACTGTGAGCATTGGAAGAATAAAACCAGAACTCTACAAGCAGAAATCGGTGGACTCAGAGGATGGGCCCAAAGAGCCTGTGGAGACGTGCGGAAAGCTCAGCTTCTCGTTGCGCTACGACTACGAGGAGCAGTCGCTGGTGGTGACAATCCTCAAGGCCTTGGAGCTGCCTGCCAAAGACTTCTCGGGCACCTCCGACCCTTACGTTAAGATCTACCTTCTACCGGAGAGGAAGAAGAAGTTCCAGACGCGCGTCCATCGCAAGAACCTGAACCCTACTTTCGACGAGAGCTTCTGTTTTCCTGTGTCTTACGATGAGATCTGCAACCGCAAGCTGCACTTCAGCGTCTACGACTTCGACCGCTTCACCAGCCACGATATGATTGGCGAGGTGGTGGTGGACAACCTCTTTGAACTCTCTGATCTTTCCAGGGAGGCTGTAGTGTGGAAGGATATTCATGCAGCAACTATGGTGAGTTGGCGTTCACTCCAACACACTGCCAAATCCTGACATATGGGGACACTTTTTTTCTATTTACATAATATTTCAGATTTGTTTTGCTATCACTGTGTAAATGGTAACTTATACTGTTATTACGAAGGTCTTAATACAAAGTATTGCGCTGATTCACTTCTAATAGCCAGAATCCATCAACATTGTCAACAGAAATGGCAGATGGAACACATTGGCTGATGAAAAGCATTTCCCAAATCATGAATTATGCAAACACCCACACACATTTTGCAACCGCTGGGTATTCCGTGGATATAAATATAGCAACAGGGAGTAAAATTATCCAATTACAAGATGCATGAACTGCAGCAGTATTCTCTCAAGCTTAAAACTATTTACATCAACAAGGGTATTGCATTCTGTGGATAGCATCTTCTCATGTGAGGGGGTAATTTAGTCCAGAATAAATATCTCTCCCACATCAACACTTCATCACTGTTTACTCAAGAGCCTCGGCTTTATTTATGAATGTTTACATTGTCAAACACTGAGCCACTGCCAGGTTCATAATAGCTTCTGTACTGTATACTATATTGAAAGCAAGATAATAACTATATATAACAGACTGAGTAGAGAGGATTCTATACTTTCTCATGTTGTTTATTTACATTATATATTCTATAGTTGAGGTGTACATTTTCCTCATCTTTGTTTGTATTTTGTTTATGGAAACACTGATACAGAAAGCTTACCCACATGTGTTTTTATCTATATAAAAGAAAGCTGAATGAAGGTGTTGGTAGTGGGCAATGGATTTCTTTCTTTTTTTACAGTTTAAACATTTGCAGGATATTTAAAATAGGTGCTGATGGATTTCAGCGATATTTGGTGTTGAGTTAAGTAATTTGTTGCGATAAAATATAAATATTATAGTCTTTGATGAAGCACTGGACTTTGTGTACTGAATGAGAACAAGAATAATGAAGAATGTGTTTTTTATATTGACTAGGGAGGATGAACATTTGGGTTTCTTCTAGGTCTTAATCATTTCCAGATAAACATATATTCATTCCTGATTGCTCTGCTGGTTTTAAGTATTTAAACTAGCCAACAGAGTATAATTTGAAAAGTTTTGGACGAATACAAATGTTTACCTGATGATAGCGCTGGCTTAAAAGTCAGGAGATGACCAAAGATAACCTTAAAAATGGCAACCCCATGGTGGTGCTAGAGGAAAGTACTGGGTCTTTATCAAAGAACATAGTATTCATCATCTTGTGGCCACAAATGTCCGTCTGTTTGGTCCAAAGTAGTGAGTCCTCTGACATTGCCACCTTTAGAGACAGCCGTGGTGAAAACCCAAATAGTTGATTTCACATTAGAAACTAGCGACTAACAGCACACAAGAAACTGCAATTTGCAGCCCGTCATGCCGGTAAATGTTAAGTACCAGCTATCAAGATGATTCCTCCCTATTTGCTGCCCTGTTTTCACAGAAGGGGATCATTTAAAATGCATTTCTTTTTGTTTTGTCCTCCAGGAGAGTGTTGATCTGGGTGAGATCATGTACTCGCTGTGCTACCTCCCCACAGCAGGCAGAATGACCCTAACTGTCATCAAATGCAGAAACCTCAAAGCCATGGACATCACAGGCTCGTCAGGTAACCCCACAGCGAATTAGACAGGCCTCACATGAAAAGAACAAAGAAATCTTACTTTGCTGAACAGAGACAGCAGGTAGCCACTTAGAAATTTTCATGTGGAGGAGAAAGAAATAATTGTATTAGCAAAAGTATTATAATTTGCCAGTGAAGGCTGTACTTTAAATGTTGAAACTAATATGAAAGGCCCGGTGCATGGAACATTCAGCATTATTTGTATTGTATGTTTTTGATGTTATCATCACATGACAGTAAACATGTCTTCCAGACCCTTATGTGAAGGTCTACCTGATATGTGATGGACGGAGGTTAAAAAAGCGAAAAACAACCACCAAGAAAAGCACGCTCAATCCTGTCTACAACGAGGCCATCATCTTCGACATTCCCCCGGAGAACGTGGAACAAGTCAGTCTGTCCATCATGGTGATGGATTATGATCGGTGAGTGGAGCAGTCACTACATGTTGTCAACATCTGTAGTACATGCTAATGTGTCTGTAGTCAATACTGTATATACGTATATCTACATGCAAATGTGAGAATAATTATGATTTTTGGACTGGTTTTAGAAGGCAAAACAAGACAGACATTCGTCCAAACTATGCACAAAATCCTTAAAATCAACAGGCAACAAAACCATGGACATCCTATAAAACAAAAAACAGAGATGAACCTCAAAATCTTGTCATAGTATCTTCCTTTTCTTAACAATCTATATTTCCTAAAAGCATTCACAAGAACAATAAAAAAGAGCTAAAATATAGGCATAAACAACACAAAAAAGCATGAATTCTCAATAGCAGCGATGCATGATGCTCATGCATTTACACACACAACCTTGACATCCATGTTAGCCTCCTCAGGGGGGACAAATGTGGATTGAGTGGGAAAAGTGTTTGTTGCTAAAGAGCATTGTACCAAACCCAGTTGGAGAGTAACCGCCCACAACCTGTCTGCCATTTGAATTGGTCATCCTAACTACCAGTTAACAAAGTTCTGACATTTAAAATCTCCTCTGAAGTTTGACTGCCTGTTAAGCAGAAGGTCTGTTTGAATGAAGGTCCTTAAATTAGCTTCTATATGCTGCCCAACCTTGAAGAACCTCCGACTCTTAGCGATTCATTTATTTAATCTAAGACAGGTTAAAAATGCATTTTCTTTTAAAAATGGTACTGATTTTCAAGATTCAAGGCTTTTATTGTCATGCATATCTACAGTGTATTTATGACAATGAAAATCTTAGGTCACAGGCTCCTCCAATTTTCAACATTGATTGAACTGATTGAATTTCAACACTGAACAAAAATATAAATGCAACACTTGTTTTTGCTCCCATTTTTCATGAGATGAACTCAAAGATCTAAAACATTTTCTATATACACAAATAACCATTTCTCTCAAATATTGTTCACAAATCTGAAAAAATCTGTGATAGTGAGCACTTCTCCTTTGCCGAGATAATCCATCCCACCTCACAGGTGTGGCATATCAAGATGCTGATTAGACAGCATGATTATTGCACAGGTGTGCCTTAGGCTGGCCACAATAAAAGGCCACTCTAAAATGTTCAGTTTTATTACACAGCACAATGCCACAGATGTCGCAAGTTTTGAGGGAGCGTGCAATTGGCATGCTGACAGCAGGAATGTCAACCAGAGCTGTTGCCCGTGAATTGAATGTTCATTTCTCTACCATAAGCCGTCTCCAAAGGCGTTTCAGAGAATTTGGCAGTACATCCAACCGGCCTCACAACCGCAGACCACGTGTAACCACACCAGCCCAGGACCTCCAAATCCAGCATGTTCACCTCCAAGATCGTCTGAGACCAGCCACTCGGACAGCTGCTGCAACAATCGCTTTGCATAACCAAAGAATTTCTGCACAAACTGTCAGAAACTGTCTCAGGGAAGCTCATCTGCATGCTCGTCGTCCTCATCGGGGTCTCGACCTGACTCCGGTTCATTGTCGTAACCGACTTGAGTGGGCAAATGCTCACATTTGATGGCGTCTGGCACGTTGGAGAGGTGTTCTCTTCACGGATGAATCCCGGTTTTCACTGTTCAGGGCAGATGGCAGACAGCGCGTGTGGCGTCGTGTGGGTGAGCGGTTTTCTGATGTCAATGTTGTGAATCGAGTGGCCCATGGTGGTGGTGGGGTTATGGTATGGGCAGGTGTATGTTATGGACGACGAACACAGGTGCATTTTATTGATGGCATTGTGAATGCACAGAGATACCGTGACGAGATCCTGAGGCCCATTGTTGTGCCATTCATCCACGACCATCACCTCATGTTGCAGCATGATAATGCACGGCCCCATGTTGCAAGGATCTGTACACAACTCCTGGAGGCTGAAAACATCCCAGTTCTTGCATGGCCAGCATACTCACCGGACATGTCACCCATTGAGCATGTTTGGGATGCTCTGGATCGGCGTATACGACAGCGTGTTTCAGTTCCTGCCAATATCCAGCAACTTGGCACAGCCATTGAAGAGGAGTGGACCAACATTCCACAGGCCACAATCAACAACCTGATCAACTCTATGCGAAGGAGATGTGTTGCACTGCGTGAGGCAAATGGTGGTCACGCCAGATACTGACTGTTTTCGGACCCCCCCAATAAAGCAAAACTGCACGTTTCAGAGTGGTCTTTTATTGTGGCCAGCCTAAGGCACACCTGTGCAATAATCATGCTGTCTAATCAGCATCTTGATATGCCACACCTGTGAGGTGGGATGGATTATCTCGGTAAAGGAGAAGTGCTCTCTATCACAGATTTTTTCAGATTTGTGAACAATATTTGAGAGAAATGGTTATTTTGTGTATATAGAAAATGTTTTAGATCTTTGAGTTCATCTCATGAAAAATGGGAGCAAAAACAAAAGTGTTGCATTTATATTTTTGTTCAGTGTAGGTATGAGTTTTACAATGTGGATCAAAAGGTGTGTTAATGTGTGTGTTTCACTGCTAACAGGGTCGGACACAATGAAGTGATTGGTGTGTGTCACTCCGGGCCAGAAGCAGAGGGTCTTGGACGAGATCACTGGAACGAAATGTTGGCTTACCCGCGGAAGCCCATCACACACTGGCACGCTCTGGGAGAGGTACACACACACACACTTCTTTTTATCCCATTCTCAATTTTCCCTCAATCTCAGATAATTCTTATATACACAGCTTTATAGAAGCTCCTGAATATGACACGGAAGATTATGCAATGCAAAGAAACAAAACATCAAATTAGTCAAACTTCCTCCTCCATTCCCATTGGAGAATACATTACATTTTTCTTTGATTTTCTGATTTAAAAACACTAATCTCACCAATAAGCCTGTATTTGTTTTGAATGTTAGAACAAGTAGATCAAATCTGAGGAATGATTACTGGAATAACTCAGAAATTGAAGTGATGAACAACAACAAAAATAGTAAAAATGCCATTTGCTGTACAAACGTTTTTTCACTCTTACCTTTAAGTTAAAAAATAAAACTTAAAGAGACCCTGGCCAATGTTCAACATAATCAGCAGCAGATGTTTTTCTCTTGACTGACTTGAAGTATTTTGAACAGTAAAAAAAACAGTAATAAGATACCTGTGTATATACTGTAAGACAGCCTATCCCTCCCCCTTCAAGTGAAATTTCATATTTTAAATGTTATCAATGTCTCTTCCTCTTATGCCACACCCACTCACCATCTGACGAATAGGAAGACACAGGTGACTACCCGTTTTCAGTGGTAAATCTACTTTAAAAGCTTTAGTAGAAAAACTGTGATCATAAGCAAAAACCATATCCTCTGTGGCTCTTGTTAAACATTGATCTGTAAAAAGCACTCGTGAGGAGACGGGCAGCCTTAGGTTATATTGATTATCTATATATCTTTTCTTGTGAAAAATAAAAGAGGATTTTACTGGTTTAACAGGTGTCTAACATTTAGGATTGTGAAGGTGAAAATCCCACTTGTGGATCAGTTGAGTTATATGTTTATCGTTTATCCCCACTGTGCTGGAATCTTTTGTGAAAGCCTTAAATCCAAGATCACAGCTACTGTTCTAGCATTACATATGGTATCCTCGATATTCAATGCATGCTTTAGAAAATGCAATTCTTCCCCTCCTTTGGCCAATTTTCTTAATATTAACAAAATACACGGTATCTTGCCACTGCTGATGTCAAAGTTGTTGCCAGTGTTGAAATAACTATTCATATCCTTTATTCAATTAAAAGTGCTTTTGCCTTGATGACCAAACATATTTAGTATGTACTTAACTAGTAGTCAAAGTGAAAGCACTTGTTCTGCAGAAGAATGCCACCCATTTGATTTGTTTTTAATAAGGTTGTGAAAGTGTTGCATGAAGAAGCATTTTTCTGATTTAGATAATGTTCTGATTATTAATGTAAATGACCTAAAATAACTGTTGTAAGTGAAATTATGTGAAATATTGGATAATCTTACACCATTTTACCTCTAACAGTTCTTCCATTAGTTTATTCTTCAGTTAGTCAAATGTGTTAATGCATTTAAAATTTGATAAATGAGTAGAAGTAGCATTACCTCAAAAGGTAACTTAATTTTGGCACTTGAGAAAATGTACTTACAGTTGTTACTTTCCACCACTGGTTGTTGCATACCTCCACTTAAGGACAACATGCATTGATAAGCTGCTTAATTAGCTACAGATAAATTATTACAAAAGGCACACAAAAAAAGAAATGGTCAACACTGCAGTGGTAAGTAATAGTACGTTTACGTCAATTCAACCTTTTTTTGCATATGATCACAGTACATCCTGATGAGGGAACTTACCTGTTTATTTAACACATATTGATGAAAGAAAGCCTCTATATACGTGTTGTGATATCTTACCTTGCAGTGGCCTGGAAGAGCAGCAAGCTTTGAGAGTCAAGGTTCGTGTCCTTCTCCCAAACCTCCGCAGACACCCTGACAATCGCGGGTAGAGTGGAAACACGTCAGCCCTGTGAGGAAGCAGGCAGTCGCTAAGAAGTTGTGTAGCTTATGAGTCTCTTGTGAGCATGTTGTATGACAATTCATTCTGATGCCTTTCTTGTATGTTTATGAAAAACAAAGTAGTATTGAAATTGAACTCGGGTCCTTCACATGCTCTCTGAGCTGGCTATGCACAGCACTCACTCTCATGCAGTTTAATATTTTGTTTTTCATACACCTGCTTTGAAATTCTCATCAAGGCTTAACTAGCCAAACATGTTCATATACATCATGAATGGTAGGCCCCCCTGCAAGAAATCATTGGTGATTAACTTGCAACCTTTTCATAAACTTTTTTCTGGCTCTAGAGCTCTATAGGGACTTAGCATTTTGCTTTGAAAATGGCACAAAGTTAAAGGGCTACCCTCCTCAATAATGCCATTAAAACATAGATAGAACACAGTCAATAAATCCAGTGAGTCTTGATTCAGGTTTTGGCTGAAGAATGAATGTGACTGAGGGTAGTTTTCAGAAGACTTTTTCTCTTGTTAAGTTGGAAATACAATTGATAAAGCTTACATCTAACCTCTGTCTTGCTAATCCAAGGACAGGTATATGAGCCAAGCAACATGATGAAATAGTCATGTCTTACATTTTCCTTATCATTATTGCTAGCTCTACACTGAAATACAAGAACAATGTCTCTTTCATGGTATGGGTGCTGATATTTTCTGCCTAGGATAGCTACTTAAGCCTCAGCCTTTTAGCATGATATCAAGTACTGTATGTGGTCATCTGGTTTTTGGTACGTATTAAAAGCGTTTTAAAAGCCAACCAGTGACAGTGGCTGCGGTCTTTATTGCTCAGGAAGTTTGAAGTCACCAAAAAGTATTAATGAAAAGACTATTCGACCGCAGCCAGCATTTAACAAACTCATGAAGAACGTTAGCTTGATTATTTAGCTAGCAGATCAAATCTGCTAGCTAAATAAATCATACCCAAATTATTGACTGTTTTGTCAACCTCTGACTACATTAGCAACCCAGTCTCATGGCATTTCGTGTTCACCAACACGATTTTTAATCTATTGATTCGTCTTCATCAACACGATTTTCCCCTTTTTTCGTGTTGCACAGCACGATTTTAAAAGCAATGTATTTCTACTGGTAATGTGTTTCGTGCCTTCAGCACGTCTTTTTGTCCGTTCGGGTCGTGGAAGATCGGAAGCTGTGTGGTTCATAAAAACATGTTCTTACTCAATATCAAGCCACAATTATTGCTTTTATTTTAAATCGTATAATTTCGGACTTTTGTTGCCGTCTGTGAGGAAAATAAATGGGGCTCAGAGCCTCAGAATACTGAAATCTGTATTTTTAAATCTTTTTTTTCCTTCTAATTTGTTATTCTTTTCAAAATAACACTGTTATTTACTCACCAATAACACACAATTATCCATGCTTTTATTTATTGGTTTAATTCCATAATCTCTGGCTTTTTTGGCGTCCGTCAGGAACTGCATTTCAAAATAAAAATAACCGGAAACAGACGTAGGCCTATAACGGCCCGTCCACACTACAGCTTCAAAAAAAGCTTGGAGCTGGGCGTGTCTGAAGCTTGGGGATTTTATTCGAGCAACGCGACCAACAACCAATCACATGAATCTCCCACCTCCGACATACAAAGCAAAAAACCCCGGGGATTTTATGCGAGCAATATATATATATAAACTCCCCAAACAGGCGAAAACCTACCAGTTTCACCCACTGTCTCTGCCACCTCCCTCCATGACTGGTTCTTCCGGTTTGTATCCCGGTAGGTGAAGAGGGTCTGGTCATACAAAACCGGGGTGATTTGCTACGGCGATAATTAGTTTCTCCTCCATCTTTTTTTGAAATATAGAAATGAACGGCGGGATATCTCTCCCAGCTTAGACGCGGTTTGATTGGCTAGGGCTTGAGCTGTCAGATTTTCAGAAACGGGATTTGATTGGCTGGCGCTGGCTACTCCAGCGTCTCCGGCGTCAGAAGTTGAACAATGTTCAACTTCTGACGCCGGAGACGGACTGCTATGCTACCCACAATTCAGTTCGGCGAAAAGCGAGGCAACGTGACTTCACCCCATTCAAAGTGAATGGGCAGACGCGTTGGAAGCCGTTTTTGAAGCTGTCGAAGCTGTAGTGTGGACGGGCCGTAAGGGACATTTCGAGCATCATTGCGATTGTCAACATTTCTGAGTTTAGGATGGCCGAAGACACTACCCATAATCCCCATCTATCGTTTAGGACTACAGTCCCCGTGATTAATCTTCAAGCTCTGGGATTGGATGTTGGAGTGGCAGTGCGCCAAGGTTACACAGAGCATCAAACAGCTGTTTGAAATGGAACGTAACCACGCCAGACTATCCAAAACTGGAATCGAACGCCCCCCCAGAACTACACATGCTGGCTATTGTGTTTCGCAAAATGTTCTATGGGACGTCTTTACTGAACGTTTTCGTTTTTCCCACAATTAGAAGTTGCCAGTATTAAACACATTGGTGTTATCAAATGTAAAACATATAATTAATAAATGGGTGAAAAATCGCTTGTGTCCATAATGTGCAGCATTAATATATACCCACATGACAGCTCATTGTTACTTTGTAATTCTACTCCACTACAATTCAGAGGTTAACCTGGTATTTTTACTCCACTACACTTATTTGAGTTACTTTGCAGATTCTGATTAATGATGTGAAATATAAACAACCCTTAAATCAGACTTTAGTTACACCTGAGTAAAATTCAGGTAAGGTGATTGTCAAGTGCCAACAATCAGGAGAGATATTTGATAGTTGGTGCTTGAGAAGACTAAACATGTATCTGCAATTGACATGAATGGAAACGAGTAATAAAGTATATTTATTACTCGTTATTCTCTACTAATAGCTAATTAAAGACTGTATATTATGGCTATTTTGCACATCCCTTTCAAGATTTTCATTTTTCAAAGGTTTATTTACATATATACACAACTACGGTGTAGTTATGCAATGAATGAAAAACTTGGGTCACAGGTTCCTCAACAGTGCATTACAAGACATCTATCAATGTGTGTGTACTTCCACCATTAAACTGTCATATTCTGCACATTTCTTACTATCTACATACAAAAGAGTATAATTCATATGTATAATATCAGTTAAAATAAGTGCTTCAACATAGTTAACATTGCAGGAAAGCAATATATTAGATAGATGTTAAGTACTTTGTCAGGCTTAATATTTATCTGTAGATAGATACCCCCAAAGTTTTTTTCTTATTTAAAAGAAGACCTTAATCTGTTATTTAATGTTTAAATAAAGGTTAATTCGTTTTTCTGTTTTGCACCTCCTCCTATTAATATCTTTACATCCTGCACTAAACTGTTTTATTGTAGAGATCACTTATAGTATCTTCTTGATTTTTTATATTCTATATTTCTATCACAGACCTTCTACTTTCCCCCTATGAAAGTATGTACTCTTAATATTTTTTTAATCAAATATAACACATAAAAACAATAATTCAATAATGTACTTTAACCACTAGGCGGTGCACACAAGGTACACACAGCCATAATAACTTTGTATTATTAGTGTAGGACACTTATGTATGTATAACATCTGAAGATGTGTAGTTTTATTCATGCTTTCACATAATTTTACAGCATATTGCTATACTATTTCAGACTCAGTATTTACATTCTTACATTCAAAGAAAATCAGTAATATCTTTAAAAACTACAAGTCCTTTTATATCAGCTGTGCACCGTTATGGTGTAAATATAACCTATCTATGAATTAGATCAAATGTAAAAGTCAGCCGAATTAGTGTTGATACTGCAAGGAGACGTATTGTGTGAAGATAAATTAAAGATGTTGTTTAATTGTTGATATATTTATGATCCACGTCAAGTATTCAGTTTCGGCGGCATTTCTTCAGTTTTTCCAAAGGTCTTCTCATCAGGGCTCTATAAATAAAGAACTACGGCAGATCTGTAATATGTAATGCAGCCAAACCGTGTATTACAATGCCATTATGTGATGACTTTCAAAGAGAAAAGCAAGAGCGCTCGGAATTAAGTATTATTTTAAAATGTTTTCCGGATTTCATATAATATAAACACCAAATCCTAGCATGCATTGCGGCTAAAACATCCAATCAGCGAGCTTAAACCATAGCTGAGGATCTTGGGTAATCGCTCGAAATGCCTACGTCTGTTTCCGGTTATTTTTATTTTGAAATTCAGTTCCTGACGGACGCCAAAAAAGCCCGAGATTAAGGATAATTGTGTGTTATTGGTGAGTAAATAACAGTGTATTATTTTGAAAAGAATAACAAATTAGAAGGAAAAAAAGATTTTAAAAAATACAGATTTCAGTATCCTGAGGCTCTGAGCCCCATTTATTTTCCTCACAGACGGCAACAAAAGTCCGAAATTATACGATTTAAAATAAAAGCAATAATTGTGGCTTGATATTGAGTAAGAACATGTTTTTATGAACCACACAGCTTCCGGTCTTCCATGACCCGACCGGAGAAAAAGACGTGCTGCAGGCACGAAACACATTACCAGTAGAAATACATTGCTTTTAAAATCGTGCTGTGCAACACGAAAAAAGGGGAAAATCGTGTTGGTGAACACGAATCAATAGATTAAAAATCGTGTTGTTGAACACGAAATGCCATGAGACTGGGTTGACATTAGAGGGCCCATTGTGAGGAAAAAAACAGCCGCAAATCTGCCTCCATTTGTCATTGTTCACTGCAGGATATGCTCTCTGAAAATGGAAAGCTTAACACGCAACGGTAGCAAAAGAGAGTGTAGCTAAGCTAACAAAAAGCCAAACAACACCAACAAAGCAAAGTAGAGTAACACTGATAGTTATCAACTTACTATTTCAAAACTAGTAAGAATAAGAATCCACAATTATATTTCCAACAACTGTTCACCAGGTACCAATTCAGGGATTATATAATCCATAAAACATTTGAAAATATTATACATGTGTTTTCTATTAAAGGTGGGGTAGGTACATTTGAGAAACCGGCTCGAGATACACTTTTTGTTATATTCCATGGAATGCTCGTAACATCCCGATAGCAATGAATATCTTAAGTGCTTTGACAAAAAATCCATAAAAAAATGTCATCTGTGGAAGCAGTAGAACTGTAAAAAGCACGACCAATCATTTTAGCCAGCCTGGCTAAAATAACTGGATGGCCTACCTGCCTTCCATCTGTGCACAAACTTATCTCATGCCCTCATTGGTCATGTGCGCGTTCGTGTGTGTTGGAGGAGGGGCTCTGTAAGGAAGTGGCAGATTTTTTCCGGCTGTGTATTTTCAAATTCTAGCGCACTCGAGCTGGTTTCTCCAAAATTAACTACCCCACCTTTAAGCCAGAATTGAAGTTCACAGACATTGATTCAGTTTCTCCTTACATGTGACTCATAATAATAATATATTACTAAGAAACCAACATAGCAAATTTAAAAAGGCTGTGTACTGTTACCTTACATGCTATGATGATGCGTCCCCCCCACGCTGCCCTAAATATTTTAAAGAAATATTGTTACTTGTAGCATGCCTCACACCTCTTTAAAAACAAAATGAGGGAAAATAAAAGAAATAAGTAAGAGTATTTCAAAACTTTGTGTTTACATCTGTATATATTTTTGTCAATGGCACTGTTTGTACATATTCAAAAGTGAAATATAAGAAGTTGTTGTGAACTTATGGAGGTAGACATCGCAATGTATTTATATTATTTGGTGATAACTTGAGAAGCTCAGACTTATTATTGAGTAAGATTTATACACGTTGTGTAATAGTTGTGAACAATTAGTTAAACAGGAGACCCAGTGAAGCCAACTCTATCTTATCAACTTATTCCATGTTTAGAGCTTTGAGCTGTGATTGTTTGCATATTGGTTTTATTATATATTATATCTAATAATATATAACTATATTGAGCCAGAACAACTGCAACTGCTGTCATGATGTGTACAGTTTGTAATCACTTTTGTAACACTTCAAAGTAAACATTTGGAATATGATTTATTGTATCTGTTTCAT